TGCCTATGTCCTGAATGGTACTACCTAGGTTTTCCTCTAGGATTTTTATGGTATTAGGTCTAACATTTAAGTCTCTAATCCATCTTGAATTAATTTTCGTATAAGGAGTAAGGAAAGGATCCAGTTTCAGCTTTCTACTTATGGCTAGCCAATTTTCCCAGCACCATTTATTAAATAGGGAATCCTTTCCCCATTTCTTGTTTCTCTCAGGTTTGTCAAAGATCAGATGGCTGTAGATGTGTGGTATTATTTCGGAGGACTCTGTTCTGTTCCATTGGTCTATATCTCTGTTTTGGTACCAGTACCATGCTGTTTTGGTTACTGTAGCCTTGTAGTATAGTTTGAAGTCAGGTAGCGTGATGCCTCCAGCTTTGTTCTTTTGACTTAGGATTGTCTTGGAGATGCGGGCTCTTTTTTGGTTCCATATGAACTTTAAAGCAGTTTTTTCCAATTCTGTGAAGAAACTCATTGGTAGCTTGATGGGGATGGCATTGAATCTATAAATTACCTTGGGCAGTATGGCCATTTTCACAATATTGATTCTTCCTATCCATGAGCATGGTATGTTCTTCCATTTGTTTGTGTCCTCTTTTATTTCACTGAGCAGTGGTTTGTAGTTCTCCTTGAAGAGGTCCTTTACATCCCTTGTAAGCTGGATTCCTAGGTATTTTATTCTCTTTGAAGCAATTGTGAATGGAAGTTCATTCCTGATTTGGCTCTCTGTTTGTCTGTTACTGGTGTATAAGAATGCTTGTGATTTTTGAACATTAATTTTGTATCCTGAGACTTTGCTGAAGTTGCTTATCAGCTTAAGGAGATTTTGGGCTGAGACAACGGGGTTTTCTAAATATACAATCATGTCATCTGCAAAGAGGGACAATTTGACTTCTTCTTTTCCTAACTGAATACCCTTGATTTGTTTCTCTTGCCTAATTGCCCTAGCCAGAACTTCCAACACTATGTTGAATAGGAGTGGTGAGAGAGGGCATCCCTGTCTTGTGCCAGTTTTCAAAGGGAATTTTTCCAGTTTTTGCCCATTCAGTATGATATTGGCTGTGGGTTTGTCATAAATAGCTCTTATTATTTTGAGGTACGTTCCATCAATACCGAATTTATTGAGCGTTTTTAGCATGAAGGGCTGTTGAATTTTGTCAAAAGCCTTTTCTGCATCAATTGAGATAATCATGTGGTTCTTGTCTTTGGTTCTGTTTATATGCTGGATTATGTTTATTGATTTGCGAATGTTGAACCAGCCTTGCATCCCAGGGATGAAGCCCACTTGATCATGGTGGATAAGCTTTTTGATGTGTTGCTGAATCCGGTTTGCCAGTATTTTATTGAGGATTTTTGCATCGATGTTCATCAGGGATATTGGTCTAAAATTCTCTTTTTTTGTTGTGTCTCTGCCAGGCTTTGGTATCAGGATGATGTTGGCCTCATAAAATGAGTTAGGGAGGATTCCCTCTTTTTCTATTGATTGGAATAGTTTCAGAAGGAATGGTACCAACTCCTCCTTGTACCTCTGGTAGAATTCAGCTGTGAATCCATCTGGTCCTGGACTTTTTTTTGTTGGTAGGCTATTAATTATTGCCTCAATTTCAGAGCCTGCTATTGGTCTATTCAGGGATTCAACTTCTTCCTGGTTTAGTCTTGGAAGAGTGTAAGTGTCCAGGAAATTATCCATTTCTTCTAGATTTTCCAGTTTATTTGCGTAGAGGTGTTTATAGTATTCTCTGATGGTAGTTTGTATTTCTGTGGGGTCGGTGGTGATATCCCCTTTATCATTTTTAATTGCGTCGATTTGATTCTTCTCTCTTTTCTTCTTTATTAGTCTTGCTAGTGGTCTGTCAATTTTGTTGATCTTTTCAAAAAACCAACTCCTGGATTCATTGATTTTTTGGAGAGTTTTTTGTGTCTCTATCTCCTTCAGTTCTGCTCTGATCTTAGTTATTTCTTGCCTTCTGCTAGCTTTCAAATGTGTTTTCTCTTGCTTCTCTAGTTCTTTTAATTGCGATCTTAGTGTGTCAATTTTAGATCTTTCCTGCTTTCTCTTGTGGGCATTTAGTGCTATAAATTTCCCTCTACACACTGCTTTAAATGTGTCCCAGAGATTCTGGTATGTTGTATCTTTGTTCTCATTGGTTTCAAAGAACATCTTTATTTCTGCCTTCATTTCGTTATGTACCCAGTAGTCATTCAGGAGCAGGTTGTTCAGTTTCCATGTAGTTGAGCGGTTTTGATTGAGTTTCTTAGTCCTGAGTTCTAGTTTGATTGCACTGTGGTCTGAGAGACAGTTTGTTATAATTTCTGTTCTTGTACATTTGCTGAGGAGTGCTTTACTTCCAATTACGTGGTCGATTTTGGAGTAAGTACGATGTGGTGCTGAGAAGAATGTATATTCTGTTGATTTGGGGTGGAGAGTTCTATAGATGTCTATTAGGTCTGCTTGCTGCAGAGATGAGTTCAATTCCTGGATATCCTTGTTAACTTTCTGTCTCGTTGATCTGTCTAATGTTGACAGTGGAGTGTTGAAGTCTCCCATTATTATTGGATGGGAGTCTAAGTCTCTTTGTAAGTCTCTAAGGACTTGCTTGATGAATCTGAGTGCTCCTGTATTGGGTGCATATATATTTAGGATAGTTAGCTCTTCCTGTTGAATTGATCCCTTTACCATTATGTAATGGCCTTCTTTGTCTCTTTTGATCTTTGATGGTTTAAAGTCTGTTTTATCAGAGACTAGTATTGCAACCCCTGCTTTTTTTTGTTCTCCATTTGCTTGGTAAATCTTCCTCCATCCCTTTATTTTGAGCCTATGTATGTCTCTGCGTGTGAGATGGGTCTCCTGAATACAGCAGACTGATGGGTCTTGACTCTTTATCCAGTTTGCCAGTCTGTGTCTTTTAATTGGAGCATTTAGTCCATTTACATTTAAGGTTAAGATTGTTATGTGTGAACTTGATCCTGCCATTATGATATTAACTGGTTATTTTGCTTGTTAGTTGATGCAGTTTCTTCCTAGCCTCGATGGTCTTTACATTTTGGCATGTTTTTGCAATGGCTGGTACCAGTTGTTCCTTTCCATGTTTAGTGCTTCCTTCAGGGTCTCTTGTAAGGCAGGCCTAGTGGTGACAAAATCTCTAAGCATTTGCTTATCTGTAAAGGATTTTATTTCTCCTTCACTTATGAAACTTAGTTTGGCTGGATATGAAATTCTGGGTTTAAAATTCTTTTCTTTAAGAATGTTGAATATTGGCCCCCACTCTCTTCTGGCTTGGAGAGTTTCTGCTGAGAGATCTGCTGTTAGTCTGATGGGCTTCCCTTTGTGGGTAACCTGACCTTTCTCTCTGGCTGCCCTTAAGATTTTTTCCTTCATTTCAACTTTGGTGAATCTGGCAATTATGTGTCTTGGAGTTGCTCTTCTCGAGGAGTATCTTTGTGGCGTTCTCTGTATTTCCTGGATTTGAATGTTGGCCTGCCCTACTAGGTTGGGGAAGTTCTCCTGGATGATATCCTGAAGAGTGTTTTCCAACTTGGTTCCATTTTCCCCCTCACTTTCAGGCACCCCAATCAGACGTAGATTTGGTCTTTTTACATAATCCCATACTTCTTGCAGGCTTTGTTCATTTCTTTTTCTTCTTTTTTCTTTTGGTTTCTCTTCTCGCTTCATTTCATTCATTTGATCCTCAATCGCTGATACTCTTTCTTCCAGTTGATCGAGTCGGTTACTGAAGCTTGTGCATTTGTCACGTATTTCTCGTGTCATGGTTTTCATCTCTTTCATTTCGTTTATGACCTTCTCTGCATTAATTACTCTAGCCATCAATTCTTCCACTTTTTTTTCAAGATTTTTAGTTTCTTTGCGCTGGGTATGTAATTCCTCCTTTAGCTCTGAGAAATTTGATGGACTGAAGCCTTCTTCTCTCATCTCGTCAAAGTCATTCTCCGTCCAGCTTTGATCCGTTGCTGGCGATGAGCTGCGCTCCTTTGCCGGGGGAGATGCGCTCTTATTTTCTGAATTTCCAGCTTTTCTGCCCTGCCTTTTCCCCATCTTTGTGGTTTTATCTGCCTCTGGTCTTTGATGATGGTGATGTACTGATGGGGTTTTGGTGTAGGTGTCCTTCCTGTTTGATAGTTTTCCTTCTAACAGTCAGGACCCTCAGCTGTAGGTCCGTTGGAGATTGCTTGAGGTCCACTCCAGACCCTGTTTGCCTGGGTATCAGCAGCAGAGGCTGCAGAAGATAGAATATTTCTGAACAGCAAGTGTACCTGTCTGATTCTTGCTTTGGAAGCTTCCTCTCAGGGGTGTACTCCACCCTGTGAGGTGTGGGGTGTCAGACTGCCCCTAGTGGGGGATGTCTCCCAGTTAGGCTACTCAGGGGTCAGGGACCCACTTGAGCAGGGAGTCTGTCCCTTCTCAGATCTCAACCTCCGTGTTGGGAGATCCACTGCTCTCTTCAAAGCTGTCAGACAGAGTCGTTTGCGTCTGCAGAGGTTTCGGCTGCGTTTGTTATTGCCCTGTCCCCAGAGGTGGAGTCTACAGAGACAGGCAGGTTTCCTTGAGCTGCTGTGAGCTCCACCCAGTTCGAGCTTCCCAGCAGCTTTGTTTACCTACTTAAGCCTCAGCAATGGCGGGCGCCCCTCCCCCAGCCTCGCTGCTGCCTTGCCGGTAGATCACAGACTGCTGTGCTAGCAATGAGGGAGGCTCCGTGGGCATGGGAGCCTCCCGGCCAGGTGTGGGATATGATCTCCTGGTGTGCCTGTTTGCTTAAAGCGCAGTATTGGGGTGGGAGTTACCCGATTTTCCAGGTGTTGTGTGTCTCAGTTCCCCTGGCTAGGAAAAGGGATTCCCTTCCCCCTTGTGCTTCCCAGGTGAGGCAATGCCTCGCTCTGCTTCAGCTCTCACTGGTCGGGCTGCAGCAGCTGACCAGCACCGATCGTCCGGCACTCCCCAGTGAGATGAACCCAGAACCTCAGTTGAAAATGCAGAAATCACCGGTCTTCTGTGTCGCTCGCGCTGGGAGTTGGAGACTGGAGCTGTTCCTATTCGGCCATCTTGCTCCGCCCATCTCATTTTCTCTACTGGGATTTATTGAAAAATTCTGTTTGTGAATGGAATTCATTTTGGGATTTTTGTTTTTATTTTTATTTTTAATTTTTAAAATTTCCATAGGTTTTGGTGGAACAGGTAGTATTTGGTTACATGAGTACATTCGTTAGTGGTGATTTGTGAGATTTTGGTGTGCCCATCAGCTGAGCAAGTATACACTTGGAATTCATTTTTATTTCCACAGGTATTATATTCTTTTTACATAATTAGGCACAACTTCACAACTCAAGGAGAGGAACAGTAAGGATCTTTGTCAAAATCATCTGCAGTAAAGAAAAAAAGAACATTTTCAGCTGTGGCATCAGGGACTTTACACATAGTAGAAGCATAAGAAAATTTTATCAAATGAAGGAAAAAATAAAAAAATTAGAAGAGAAGGGAAGAATGTGGTGCTTTCTTTGGACCATTTTATATAAAATCTGGGGTGAATTAATTCATCCAGACAGCACTGTTTGGGCAACCAGTGCATATGTTCTCCCTACATTGTGAGTAAGAGGCAGCATTATTGACCTTAGCCTTAACCTAGGAGAGGATGTTTATGTACAAACCTTGGAGGCCTTCAAGAGAAGATGACATAAAATGTGAACATACACATTAATATCCCTTATGGATTTGATATTCTTGCACTGAAAGTTTGGCTATTTCTCAAGCTTGAGAATGCCTGGTGGTACAGAAGGCATGATTTTTCACTCTCTGCTAATAGAATCAAGCTTCTGACTGCCACCAGTACAATGGTAGCACCCAGATTTCAGTTTCAGAACCTGTGGCAGATCTACCTGCCCCACCGGCTCAGTTTGTCTCAACCAATGAGCACTTTAATGTTGGTTTTCCAGGTCGATTGCTTGGTAAGGCAACATCAATATCCTGGATATGGTATTTGCTAGTGATCCTCTGAAGCAAAATATGTACACATCAGGCTGTATATTTGCTAATTAAACAGTCCCCAGGGACATCAAGAAATCCAATGCTAAATAACCCTCTTGGAAAATGTTATTTCCTAACCAGCCCCAACTATTATGTACTAAGGTGCTTCCACAACCCATGACTTGTCTATGTCATGGCACCCCAGTGCCTTTATATGAGCACCAAGACATATCCACAGGTTAGTTGGCCAGAGTTTGATAAATGCTTGTGGCCAGGGAGAGGTTTTTTTCATGTGCGTCACTAACTTTCCCACACAAAAATGGGAGACTGAGACTCTATACAGTAGTCAACCAGCCTAAACTGGAAAACAGTGTTGTGTCATATACAGCCCTGAAACTGGCAGGCACTTAAGAGATTATCCATTCTAGCCCCCTCATATTAAAGGTAGAAAGAATGTATCTTCAAGCAGAGAAGTGATGTGATCAAGGTCACAGAGTGACTGACAGAGCTGGAACCTGAACCAAAGCCTTCCAACTCCAAGTTTGATGCTTTTTTAACCCACCTTGCTGCGTCCAGATTGCCTTCAGCCCTTGGACATAGAACTGGTTTTTGGAGCCAATATAAAGAAAAACACTAGAGAATAAGGCAGTCCTGCCTCCAGCACTGAGAAGGCAGGAGAATGACAACAGCCAGGCCACCAAAGTGTGTGTGAACTGGAGTATACTTTGGTCTTAAAGAAAGGCAATCAAAGACCACTGCGCTATCATCTAACTAGAAGCACACAATGCAGAATCATCACAATATCAACCTGAAGTTCTTAAGTTCTTGCTCACTTTGCCTTTCTCTTTACTTTAAGCCTGTAGGCCAATCCTTTTCCTACAGTTTCCCTTTTTACATAATTAGGTACAACACCCCATTCCCAACTGAACATCTGTCTCTTCTTATAAATATGGCTTCCTATGGAAGAAGCTCAGCATCTAAGATGGATGTGTATCTCTGAGAGTTTTCTTGATAGGTGTACTAGCCCTGAGAGCCAGAAGACCTGAGTTCTGGCTCCAGTTCTGCTGGATGGCTAAGGGCTGAGTGACTGGCCCCAGTTTTACTGGATGGTAAGGATGGACTCAGTGACTGTCAATAAGGCATTTTCCTTTTCCCTGATTGAGGTTCCTCAACTGTAAAATGAAGGGATTGGACTAGACAATGTCTAAGGTTCCTTCTGGTTTTAACGGTCTGTGACAATTGTTTTTAATTACTCATGAATTTTCTAACCTCCCATCTCTTCTTTCCTCTATTAGTCTAATAACACATTCATACTAAATTTACTAGGTACAGACACACCTATACACACTTCTGTACACATTTCTATGCTTCTATACACACTTTCTCAGCCAAGAATGAGTCAAGGTATACACATGCACATGTGCACTTAGTTTTGAAGAGGAAGTATCATCCAAGACCCAGTATGTGGTCTCACGTTAATTCAATATGCAATATAAATGTAGACAACACAACCCTTTTTTCTTACCATTTGGAAAGCTTATTTCTGAAGGTGTGCCTTGTGCAGAGCCTAAAGATTTGAAAGTGGAGCTAGTTGCAGTTGACTTGAGGAATGGTGTCAACAGTTTGTGCTCAAAGGTTTTCTTTAGTCCCTCCTGTTTATATCCAACTTTTATCTGACACCGGCTGCTCGCATCTGAAATGATACCAAGAAAAGTTAAAAACATAAAACTCATCAAATTCTATACTTAAAGTAGTGAATTTTATGGTATATAAATTACACTTCAATAATCTGGTTTAAAAACACAAAGCTTGATGCACAGTGTTCATTCTGCATACCTGAAGGAGTCAGCTTTTCTATGAAGTTGTAAGAAGTAGGTTTGTACTATAATGTGTGGTGTAAGAAGAGACAATTCACATACCTAGGATGCCTGCTTTTCCGAGAGCACAAGGACCAGCAGATTGCTGATATGGTCAGCATAAAGTGGGGAATGGGGGGAATCTCAGTGCTACTTGTAGAATCTTAGAGTTCAAATACTGCCTTCACTAAAGAAAATTGATTAGGCTTTGTATTGAGACTGAGAGAAGCTGCCTGAATTGGATGGAAGATCCTTTTGATACATAGAACATCAGTTTGCCTGCACTGGAAACATTCTTAAGGGAAGCATCAGCGTTAAGAGGCAACATCTGAGTTCACTACATCCCCCAGTTTGTGGGCCATCAGTACACCTGTGCAGCCCACTGGCCAGGCATCTTAGGAATGCTTATAAGTTCTCTCTATCTCCACCACCACTCCTTGCTTCCTATATCCACTCAACCCACTGTTGGCTACTAGCCAGAAGCCCCTGAGACCCAGTGCCTGGAACACAGTAGACACGCATTCAATGTTCTTTTAATTGAATTGAGACTGATGTGACAGTGAGGGTAAGCAATCCAAGGAATCTGGGCCAAAACCAAAGCATCCCTAGTTTAAAATATGGCCCAAGTCACATTCTTCATTTGACTTCATTCATCTCAGCTCAAAAGCACAAATCATTTTCACGACATGGAAACAGCCTGTGTTTTGATGCTGATATGCTGTATGTACTCAAGTTAGGAGACAAATTAATCTGATCAGTTTTGTAAAACATGTAAAATTCAAAACTTCATCCAAACTGACATCTTACCAGAAGAGTTATCCAATCGCAACCACCCACAACAGAGGTGTATCTGCCACTGCTCCCGCACACTCTCCTTCATCACACAGTGAAACACAAAAATGAAGAATCCTAAGCCAGGAGAAGAAGGTCAGTCTTTTTCGGTTTCTTTCACCAGCTATCACCAATGCCCTGACTCAGGTCTGCTCCTGTCATGAGAGATACTACTTTCAAGGAACCCCAGGACCACTACTGGCTTTCTGATCTTGTCTTTGTAGCCTCCCTCCCAAAGGCAAAAATGTCTATATAAAGACTTCATGTCAACCACTATTTTGTCCCGGGGCTGCTGTTCATCCTAGAGCATGAGAGGTAAGGTAGCCCCTCTCTGAGATTGCTTTCAATCATCCCCACAACCTGGCATTGGCATCCTTGTGTAGTTTCCTTCCACATTGGACCAATAGAATATAGCAGAAGGGATGGCATGTCACTTTCAAGATTAGGTTATAAAAGATCTCTCTCTCTCTCTCTCTCTCTCTCTCTCTCTCTCATCGCTCTGAAGGAAGCCAAGTATTTTGTCCTGAGGACATCCTGGCATCTCTGTGGAGAGGCCCACATGGTGAGGAACTGAGGCTTCCAGTCCACGACCATGTGGATGAGCCTTCCTGGAAGCACATTCCCCAGTCCCAGTCAAGTTTTTAGATCATCGCAGGCCCGGATGACAGCTTGACTACAACTTTACGACAGTCCCTGCGTCAGAAACACCCAGCTAAGCTGCTCCTGAATTACTGATCCTCAGACACTGTGTGAGATAATAAATTTTTGTTGTTTTAGGCTGGTAAAATTTGGGGGTAATGTATTACATAGCAATAAATAGCTATTACACACGCTTTTTGGCATAATGACACCATGTGGAAACCATGGATTTGACCCTCAACTTCCAATGCCAGCCCTGATTTTGTCCTGCAAGGGGGAGGGAGGAGCTGAAAGTCTTTGTCAGCAGTGCTGGCCATTTCTCTTTCTCACCCTCTAAAATATCTCCTTGGAAGATAAAAGTATGACTTAAGATTATCTTGGCCAGGCATGGTGGCTCACATCTGTAATCCCAGCACTTTGGGAGGCAGAGGCAGGTGGATCACTTGAAGCCAGTAGTTCAAGACCAACTTGGTCAACATAGAGAAACCCCGTCTCTATTAAAAATACAAAAATTAGCTGGGTGTGGTGGCACATGCCTGTAGTCCCATCTACATGGAAGGCTGAGGCACGAGAATCACTTGAACCCAGGAGGCAGAGGTTGCAGTGAGCCGGAATCGAGCCACTACACTCCAGCCCAGGCGATAGAGCAAGATTCTGTCTTAAAAAAAAAAAAAATTATCTTGATTGCAAATTCCCTGGAGGACCAATTAGATTTCCTGCAGTTGGGGGTAGAATTGGCAGAAATAACTCCTGTCAATAGCCCGACTTATATTTATGGTCCATTACAAAAAGTCTTTATCCACAAAACCTTTCCAGATGCCTCAAACTGAAACTCATTTTTCCCACTTCTGAACTCTCATAACATTTTGTTTCTTGTATTGTTATATGTAGCCATACAATTATTCATCTATTTCCCATTTCTCCACCTAGCTGTTGAGTCTTTGAGGGCTGAGATATGTTTCCTTTTCATATTTATGCCATTTTGCCCTTCATCTTTAATGCACTAACTGCTGCAGCTCAATAAATATATGTTGATTTGAACTCCAAGGCACTTGATACACAAACTCTCACATCCACCTACAACATAGTGATAACTGCTTGAGCCTCAAAATATTTATTCTGATCCAAGTGCAGTTTGGAAACCTTTATTCTCTATACAGGTTCAGCTTGCCTCTAAATTGGCCAGTTGTCCTGAAGGTAAATTAGTATCAAAGAGGTCTTAACCCATTGTAAACTGAGCACCAGTCTATTGTAAATGCCCCAAAGCAAATTTCAGCTAGAGCACTGCTGGAAGTAAAGATAACAAACCTGCACATTGTGCACATGTACCCTAGAACTTAAAGTATAATAAAAAATAAATAAATAAAAAGAATCTTGATGGAGGCGAGTGACAGTCTCCTGCCATATTCTGTCCTTGTTTGACCATACCTCCCACCAGCACCATGTTCAGTTTGGGAGGCTTTGTTTTAAGAGTAAGATGACAAACAGAAGTATTCAAGAATACAGTGAAGAAGGATAGTGAAGAAAAGCTGAAAGAGCTGGGATGTTGTATCCAGACCAAAAAAAAAAAAAAAACTTGGAGTGGAAAACATAGAGTGAGAAGAGATGGTAACTTAGCCACAGATCTGAAAGGGCTGCCATGAAAAGGACAAATTAGGCTTGTATCTGTACAGTTGCCCGGTTAGAACCAGGAGAAATGGAAGAATGTTCCAGAGCAACCACGTACTAACAAATCACAGCTAGTGTTTATTTGGCAATAAGTATATGATAGGCATTGTACTATTAGTCTCATTTTTATAGTTGAGGAAACTCGGAGTCCAAGAAGTCTAGTAAACTTGACCCAGGTCACAGAGCTAACATTGAGCTGGCAGCACCAGTTCCGAATACAGGCAGTCTGACTATAGAGCCCAAGGCCTTAACTACTGTACTATACTAACCTCAGGTAAGGAAAACCGGTACCACATCAGAGCTGATAAATGCTTTGCTTTACAGAATGGTGAGCTCTCAGTCTATGGAAAGTTTCAGGCAGAGGCAAGTGACTTCTTGTCACTCGATGGGAAGTTTGATTGGGAAGATCTTGGCTCCCTAGCCCAAGCCCTGAGACTCTGATTCCAGATGGGAGGCTAAACGGAATGGCATGTAAACGGAATGGCATGTCTCTCTAACTCTCCCAAAAGCTTTATCCCCATGTGTAACCAAACAACTGCGGGGATGAATTCAGCAGTGTTTGCTGTTTTTCTGAGCAGCAGCCACCTGGAAGGCAGCGCAGCACCCCGAGGAGAGCAAACCACAGTCTCAGAGCAGGCAAAACTCCTCCAACTTCAGCATGTACAAGGGGTGACAGTGACATCAAGCACCTATTACTACTCTGATTTCTTGCATGGAGTTTAGTTTTCAGACTTAAAGGTTATTCTGTGAATTCCAGTGAGCTGCCTGCCAACTCTCCCCCTCTGCCTGACAGCTTTCCTTTCCCTTTCCCATAACAGATTGATCTGCTTACTCACTAGGAAAACACAGGCATGAGGGAAGATGTCAGGTTTTTGTCACCTGCAGTTTTATTTGTGCATTCCTCCTTCACAAATAGCTCATCATGAGCATAATTTTTCCCACTTGACCACAGGTCACCCCCATCCCCTTCAGCCAGCGTTGCAAGCTTGTCATTTGTCTTTTAAATGACTACTTTGTTCACTTGTTCCACCATTTGTTTTGGAGGTTATTCGGGTCATGTGTGTGTGTGTGTCTTGAATTTGAAACTCTGAGCTCTGAAAACTCCCTTGCTACAAGATGGTACATGCTATCTTGTAGTCATTTCAGGCAGGACTGGCAAGACTTTGTGCTTGATGGACATAAGGCATATCTGACAGACAGAGACAGCTTGGCTCTTTTGGTGCTGGATCTATGGGACTTTGATTTTAGTTTTCAAGAAATACCCAGTTAGAACACTTATATACTGTTGGTGGGAATGTAAATTAGTTCTGTCACTGTGGAAAGCAGTTTGAAGATTTCTCAAATAAATTAAAACAGAGCTACTATTTGACTCAGCAATCCCATTATTGGGTATATATCCAAAAGAAAACAGATCACTCTACCAAAAAGACACATGCACCCTTATGTTCATTGCAACAATATTCACAATGGTAAAGACACGGAATCAAACTAGGTGTCCATTAATGGTGGATTGGATAAAGAAAGTGTCTACATAGCCACCATGGAATACTACTCAGCTATAAAAAAAGAATGAGATCATGTCATTTGCAGCAGCATGGATGCAGCTAGGGGCTATTATGCTAAGTGAATTAATGAAGGAACGAAAACCAAGTACTGCATGTTCTCACTTAAAAGTGAAAACTAAACATGGGGTACACATGGACATAAAGATGGCAATGGTAGACAACTGGGGACTATTAGAGGGGAGAGGAGGGAGAAAGTAAGGATTGAAAAGGTAACTATTGGGTTCTATGCTTACTACCTAGATGATGGGATCATTCACACCCAAAACCTCAGCATGACATAATATACCCAGCTAACAAACCTGCACATCTACCCCCTGAATCTGAAATAAAAGTTGAAAAGAAAAGAAATATCCTATTAAATTCTGCTTCTATCCATGCAGTTTCCTTCCTTAGATGCTACTTTCCACCATAAGAGTGGTTTTGAAAACACCCCTGCCCCTCCTTTTTAAAATCAGAACTGCCTGGCTTTCTTGATCTTTTGCCAGCTTTCCTTTAACCCCTCTTTCCACAGAGTGAGTGCATTTTTCCTCAGAATCACTGAGCCAAAGAGAAGCCTGGAGTTACCACTGTGGAGGAAGTCTTCACAGGCACTTGGGTTCTAATCCGTTTCCATGGACATTCTCCACCATGACTGGTTAGTTCTTGAGGTTAGAGCATCAGGTTAGAGTACTGTAGTGTGGGCCAGGCAGTTCTATCCACAGAAAAAGTGTAGAACCATCACCAGGGCCTACACTAGAATACAACCTTCAGTTCTACACTAGAATTCAACCAAGTGCCAGTAGCCTCAAAGGGAACCAAGAGAGGGTGGTATTGAGAGTTTCTAAAAATTCCATTCCTACTACCAGAGGCAATAAAAATGGCATGTGAAGGAAGAACAACACATTTTGTGACTTCTTATATTCCAATTAGAACATGGCTGTATATGGTTGGCAGGATCTGGTGGGACAGAAAGTTTCCACTGATCCACCTCATTGCTTAAAATAAGATGGTTTCTTGAGTCATAAAACATAAATGCAAAAACCATGCCTTCTGCTACATTGCTTCCCCCCACTCCCCGCAGCACTTTGCAAGTGCCTGGAATATAATAACTGCATGCCAATTTATTTTTCTCAAGGTTCCTCAGGGATTAACAATGACCACAATAAAAGGTTCAGAGGTTTTTAAGACACTACATTAAAACAAGTTTTTAAAGACGATTTTTTTTTTTTGTAATAGAACTTTTACCATGCTAATGTACATAGTGCTATTCCAAGAAAGGGGGAATGTAATTTGCCACATTTCCCAAAGTTATTTGACCATAGAACTTTTTCCTTGCAGGAGCATCCCATGGGATCATCAGTGGGCTTCAGTATGGAAAAGAAGGGTTTATTGAATGAAAAAAAAAATAGCGGAGAGCACGAAGGTAGAGTCTAACTCAATGAAATGCCAAGTTGACCCTCAGCCTGTCCCTACTGGAGTAGCCCAGATGGACTGGACCAAACTTGAGGATAAAAGTATGGGGTAGAATTAGAGACTCACACAAAATAATTTTGCAGGCCTCTTCCCCTCAGTATTTTTAATAGGCAAAATCAGGTTAAAATGAACATCAGCAATTACTCAGAGTTACATGAACCAGATCCCTAGCTTTCTTTTCTTTTCTGTTTTTCTTTTCTTTTCTTTCTCTCTCTCTTTCTTTCTTTCTTTCTTTTTCTTTCTTTCTTTCTTTCTTTCTTTTTTTTGACAGAGTCTCTCTCTGTTGCCCAGGCTGGAGTGCAGTGGCACGATCATAGCTCACTGCAACCTCTGTCTCCCGGAGTTCAAGCGATTCTCCTGCCTCAGCCTCCCAAGTAGCTAGGATTACAGGCACATACCACCATGCCCGGCTAATTTTTATATTTTTTAGTAGAGACGGGGTTTCACCATGTGGGTCAGGCTGGTCTCAAACTCCTGACCTCAGGTGATCCACCCGCCTCAACTTCCCAAAGTGCTGGAATTGCAGGCATGAGCCATTGCACCCAGCCCCTAGCTTTTACTTCTCATGCCATCTTTTGTCGACCATTTCATCACTTCATTGACTATTTGTTCATTTCATCAGAATAAAGGAAAATAATTAAAAGAACTCTAGGGCCTTTAGCTTAGGATCATCTAATTCAACCAATTGTGGTAACTTTTTAAAGGTTGCCTTATAGCAAAATCAAGGCTACAACCTTGGCCTTTCCCATAGCCCTTTGCTTTTAACCTTCATTCCTGTATGATTCTATGATAGTCTAGCCTGGCTCTTTCCCAAAATATTAGGATATCTGATGCAGATAGAGTCTATGGGGCCAAAACTTTAATGTTTCTGCTTTCCAGTTAATTGCTATGTTTAGCTGGATTGTGCACTTCAAAATATCAACATGAGTGTGAATCTGTACATTTTTTAGCACAATGTGTTGATACAATGAACACTGTATGAAGTATTGCCAATCAGTGTTTGATATAGGCATTTCCAACTACCTAAAGTTGAGTTACCTATCTGGGCTTCTCCCTATACCACTGAGTAAGAGAGAGTGGGCTGTGTGTGCATTTAATGAAGACTAACATCTAGTTAATGTTTCCAACAGGTGAGATTATTTTCCACAGCAACAAAAGCTTTGCTGGAGCTGTAGCTGGCCACGGAAAAGGCAAAAAAGCAGCAGTTACCTTGCAAAGTGTTAAAAATGGCAAAAAGATACAAGAAAAAGATTCTCACAGGTCCCCAGGCAAAAAAGGCAAACCCCCAGGTGAGGCCAAGTAAGAATGTCAGGCTCGTTGTGCCTTTGAGGTCATGCAGGATCATCTTCCGACGAGTCTTCTGGCTTTGGGATTTCACAGAATTCAGTTGAACAAGAACAGTGCAGAACATGGAGAGATTCATGAGAAATATGAGGCAAAAATAAGCCACCACTGAGATGTAAAAGATAGAATCATCTTTAATCCAACAACTGTAAGAAACAAAGAAGACTATCATGAGATAGGGAAACATAAAGTCCTATTTCTCAGAGACTTAAGATCATCTAGTCAATTTTATTTCACCCTAAGGGCATCTAGCCCTAGAGAAATGAACTGGACAGAGTTCACTCACACCAACTGGAGGCAGAGCTGGGACAAGAACCTCAATCTCCTGAACCCCACTTCAGGGTTCTCTCCAACACTAAGTCAGAAATCCTAGAGGATGGTTTCTGCCATCCTCTAGGATTATGCGGAACCCGTCAGTCCAATTCCCTAGGAAATGGTTCTATTCGTTAATAGCAGAAAAACGAATGATACATTTTCCCCCAAAGTGGCTCTCTGTCGCCGCGCTCCCCACACCGCCCCCGCATGCCCTCCCTCCCAACACCTTACACCTAAGCTCTTATTTGCAGGATGAATTCTACTTTACATGATAAATATCACAGTGAAAGGATGTGAGCAATGAGTGGCTTTTCTGAAAGCTATATCAAACAATGGTGAAATTATGAAAGTTAATGAAAATGCTACAAAAAGAGAACAGCTCTAGGTGTACTGCTTTAAAATATGATGTATTTGGAAGACAAAGGCAACACTGGCCACTGGATTGATTAATGACTCTATAGTTTTTATTAAAGAAAAAATATGCAGTGATTCATATGAACAAATATTCCATTTAATAACATTTGCAATTACTGGAGGCATTTTCCCTGATTTTTGAACACGGAGAAGATTGACTAATTTAACTGTGTGTCAACTGAGCTCTCTTTTCTAAAACCAGGAAAATCTCTTTTGGTCATGTTGTTTATGTTGGCATGGATACTTTCACTTATGTGTGAGTTTGTCTCTGTGTGTGTGTTGCAAACGTGTTAAAAAACATTTAATTTTCCTAATAGATTCTGATACCTAGAGTTCCCTGAATATTATCAGCATCCTTAAAGGATGCTATAGAAAACTGTTAAAATGAGATAGTGTTATATGTTTGGGTAGAGAATCACCTTCAAGATATATTGTTAAGTGGAAAGACCAAGGTGCCAAATGGTGTATATCTACCACTTGGGTAACAAAGTGTGCAAGAGAATATCCATACAAATTTGATCTTTGGTAATAAATTGGTAATAAGAGTTACCTCAGGAGGGAAACTGGGTAGCTGGAGTTTGGAAGTGGGGCTTATTTTTCATCCTCTACCCTGTTGTACATTTGGATTTTGTTCCATGTGCATGAATTACTTCTTCAAAATATAATTTGAAAAAAAAAACTATTAGAGCAGTCTGCTTCTTATTAACCAAGTCACATCTGAAAAGTCTCTTTTGGGAAAAAGTGGAGTTGATTTTGTTCTGGTTTTGCTTTAGCTCTTGCTTTTGATGGTTCAAGAAGAGTCACAATTAGGTAGACACTGGGGACCTTTTAAGTCACAAAACAGGCAAGGGGGGAGGTTGGAGCGGGAGATAAGAAGGAAGGGAAGAGAAAATGGAAGAGAAAGAAAAGATAACAAGGAATTTTAATTAGAAAGCATCTGCTATAAAGGGCAAAATAATTTTGACCCGCTGGAAACTGTCATCTCAATATGAAAGACGGGGGAGTCTTGGAGCAGGACCTCCTACATTTGATTCCAGTCCAGTGGGAGAGGAAATCTATAGTGGAAGAACTTGAGAGGCAATGATAAAAAGAATGGAATAATCAGAAGTGTAAAATGAGATTGTGCAGCCTAAAGGACCGCAGGGCAACTGTCTACACGCCTACACGCCTGTAAAAGAAGGTTTTGGAGAGGTGGGGTGAAGTGAATTGCTACTCTCGTGTGATTGTGGTTGACAGAACTAAAGAGATGAGCTTATACATCAAATGGGATAAAAAGAAAAAAATGAAAAGAAACAAGAAAACAACAAAGCTGAGGCCATTTACAAAGGAAAGCTGTTTAGCATTCTTCAGGGAAGACCTTTGTTGCTGAAAGGTAAAAAATGTTTTCCAAATCATCTCAGAATTTCCTTGTAGTGGCCACTAACTCTTTGCAATGACCTTTGCAATGTGTGAGCTTTGTAATCACAATACCTGCCAGTTACACAGCATTTGCCGTAGAACAGGCAATATGCTGAGCACATTACATACATGATATCATTTTAATTTGCACAGGACGTTAACAGGAAACATTATTATTCCCATTTTCCAGAGGAGGAAATTGAACTAAAAAGTAAAGTAACTTGCCTAAGGTCATAGAGGACCCAGGCAACTAACCATTACATAAATGTAGCCTTGACTATGCTTAGGGCAAAAGGGCTTAGGCTGATTTCTTCCTGAAGCCAGAGTCAAGACCAATCCCAGGCAAGAACGCTTTACCATACCTTGCTGGGCCAGAGCCCCACCACTAGAGAAAGAGATGCTGGTACTTACAATGGAGTTGTTGGGCTCAGAGTTCCATACAGATCTTTTTTCACACTGACTGTGATTGCCACCATGATTGCTGGGATTCCTGCAGTGGGAAAGCAAGTCAGAGGCATTTCTTCAGGTAGCAGGGAGGCATCCTAATCAATGACTGTGGGTGATGATACATTAAGACACTGTTTAAATGAGCCACAGATGTGTGGGCATCAAAATACTATTGTTTGCAAAATGTTTGTGAATTCTTCCGAGTTAAACATTTCTAGGAGTTCTCCAATCTGCTAAACTAGACAGCATGCCAATGGCTCCAATACAACACCCACCAGTTATTAAAAATAGCTCAAGTGCCAAAAAATCAACTTGGCAAAAGAAGTATCTAGTTGATTGGAATGCAAGTTCGCATCAAGCATTTCTTCTTAGATGATAAGCCTCTAATTTTTACTCCCTTTCCACATCGCCCCTTCTTTCCCAATAGCTTTTTGTCTAGGTCACCTTAGGGGAAGGGCACAGGCAATCAGCTGCAGCCTTCAGTGCTTTTTTGACAGGGAAACTGTTTCCACACTCGTTACTAGTTTGACATTTTGACTAGATCGACCAGTTAACAACCACTCAATTCAGTCAGACTATAATAAAGCAATCAGTTCAGTCGAAATGGTCAAACGTGAGGAGAGTATAGACACAGGGTTTAAAAATCCAATTTCATGTACATTTGCAAAACTTAAATGATTTCTTTATCTCTCAATTGCATTTCTCCTAGACTAAGAGCATACACCTACATGCATTTTAGGGGTTTTGTTACATGCTTTCCAAAGCTGTTCCAAAGCCCAGGATGCCAAGTATCTTGAAAAATCCTCCACTGTCCCATTCTGTGATAAACAGGATAGTCCCTTCAAATCTGTAGAGCCCACCCCAAGCACAGCACCTAGAATGCTGCAGATGTTTTTAAAAATACCCCCGAAGGCTGGAAGGGAGAGACAGAGGAAGGCCTCATCTTTAGGATGGAAGTTGTGTGGCAGTCTTCAAGCTGTGTTTACATATTGAAAAAAATTTTTTTTAAAAAGATCCCTTCGGTTGTTATTTTAAAAATATAAACAAATCTACTGTCTTGGACAGGGATTCATTAGGTTGGTGCAAAAGTAATTGTGGTTTTTGTCATTAAAATAAACCTTTCCAACAGGTTGCTTTGGCATTCATAAGGCAGAACTCCAAACATAAACAGATGTTAATATCTATTTTCCTTACAGTTGATTGCTTTTGTCTAATATTGAAATGCTCCAAAACTCCCTGTAGTGGGACAGCTCAGCTGTGGCTTCCTGGTGACCTTGCATGTATGCACATAGACCACGCAGGTAAAGGCTTATCTGAATTTGGGCGGTGTGCCCTGCGGACCTCCACAAATTCAAGAAGATGGGAGGCCTGTGGGGAGGTGCTCCAGGGCCATCTCCTATTCACCTCCCTGTCTCCTCCAGGAGGCTGTCAGGAGACAGCTTCTCATCATCTCCCAGGGCTCTGCAGAGGTGTGGGCCTTTGTACCCTGCCCCCTCAGAACAGGGCAGCAGAATAGGAAACAGCATCACTTCCATTTAAAACCAGCTCCTCAGCCACCGGGAATCCTACAAGTCATGTGACAGTCATCCATTCCCTTTGTTTTGGTGTCGTTCTTTTTAGTGTGGGGGACAAGAACATGAAAGGTGGCACTTTTAGGTACCCTTCCTTTCACAGTTTATGTAAGTAGTAAACTGAACCTAATAGTGGCTTATTGTATCTTTCTTTACTGATTGAGCCAGTCAGACTTCTCAGCTTGTGTGTGTAACTAAAGTTTTCCTGCTTCCAAGTACCAAACTTTAGCCTTTCCTGCCTCTCCTTGTAACCCAAGAAATGTATATGAAATTAGAAGATCAAAGAGATAAGAAGTGAGTCCTGGAGGAAGGGCTTAAAAAAGAAGCTGGGAATGAGTGACGATCAGGCAGAAGTAAAGCCAGGATGGAGTGACATTTACAGCCTTTTCACAGTTGGCCATATTATCTGCTTTTTGGATTATTCATGAAGGCTCTCCCACATTTTTCAATCCTCTGATTGAATCAAGATGAGGGACACAAGGCTCTAAGGGGAGTGTATCGACTGCTTTTGGCTCTGTGTTTCTGATGGATTCCAAAGTGTACTAAAACAAGCTTTTAGATTATGATCTGTTCAGTATTTGCCTGTCTCTGCTCCCCACATTAGCATAGATAATAGCACTGACTGTGTATCCAGTGAAAGCATGTACTATGTTAATGAACTCATTAAAGGGATGAGTAGCTAATTAGGAGGGTATTGTCTTCACAAAGGCAGTGGAAGATAAAATCTGTGTTCCTATGTACCCTAGGTATGCTACTTAATGTATATCTCCTACGCATCTAACACATTGTCTGAACCCAAAATCTGCCTTGAATACACAAGAGAGAGAGGAAAGGAGCTGAGCTGACCATGACAGTTAGAAATGCAGGAAACAAGCCAATGAAATGACATTTGTGTTCAGAAAGATCTATGCTGAGGACCATTCCTGGCTTCTTCCAAGGCCAGCAGTGATCATCACAGTCATGAGGTGTGATGAGAATCAGGTTCTGGCTGACCCAGCACTCTTTCACCCATTTCAAGTCTTTTCCCTGTTCCTTAAACAATATGGCAAGACCATAGAGGTTAGAAGTCCAAACTATGGAGACAAACTCCCTGGCTCAAATCCCAGCTCTCTTGCTTACTAACTGTGTGAGTTTTGGCAAATTACCTAATTTTTCTGTGCCTCAGTCTCCTCATCTATTAAATAGGAATAATGATGGAATCTATCCCATAGAGATATTATGAGGATTAAATGCATATGTAAAGCACTTAGAATAGCATCTGGCACATGTAAGTGCTACCTAAGTGTTAGCCGTTTTATCAGTATTTGTTGTGACTGTAACTTCTGCAAAGGAAGAGATAAAATCTATTCACTACTGTAGAGCCAGCACTTAGCACAACATACAATAAGTAAGTGCTCAATAAATATTTGTGCACCAACTCCTCGCCATAAAGGTTAAAAATTGAATTAATAGAGCAATACAGGCAGAAAAAAAAGATGCATGCCCAAACACCAGCAAGGCCATCCTTAATTTTTTACCTGTGATATTAACAGAATCTAACAGAGCTAGAATTAGAAAGACAAACTTAAGACATAAATATCAAAAACAATGGCAGATATACTCACCCCAACCAACTAGACAAAATTTAAGTATATAATTTGGAATGTATATGTTGAAGACTTTGACTAGAGCCAAATACATGTGGACTGCCTCCAGGCCCATCCAAGTAAAAGAAACAAGCAGGAAGTAATGAAGTGCCACTGCAGCTGTGATACAAACTCCCGCCTTCTGAAATGATGACAACCAAGAATTGACCAGAAATACCAGGTTTAGCACCAGTAGTGCTATGCACAGGTTGATCAGAATTTTGGCAGGATAATCTTTTCGAAGTTTGCTAAAAGAGAAAGTACAAGGTTAAGTTAGGTAAAGTCTGTTTTTTTTTTTTAATTAAACATTGCCACATCTTATCTACATAATAAGTGAAAGAATAAAAGAATTACTCATCTTTGCTTATACTTTGAAGTCCCCCATTCTCTTTCCAGGTAGAGTCAAAGTATAATAAACATAGTGACCTTAACTAACAGAAATAATAATAGCCTCTCTCAACTACACACTTGAGAGAGGCTATTATTTTTCTTTTTATCTTTTAGAAAGAAAGAAGGAGTTTCCTAGGTATTATGATTCTATCACCACTGCTTCAGCAGGCTGGAGCTACATATTACCAAATAGCAGGATGACTATGGAAACCATTCCAAGTAGAGCTACTTGGATAGTTCTAAAGATCCCAACAGATGGCCTCATGGAAATATGGCCTTAAGTTTTATTAAGTGATTGCAACTGTACTTTGCAGAAACTCACCCAATATTTTTCAGAATAAAAAATATGTATTACCCCCTTTGATTATTTTACACTCTTATTAATTATTTAATGATTTAAATTTTGCTGTTTTCATTTAGTGTGAATTTTTTTCCTGAGGTTATAGTAAAGTGCACAAGTGTTAACTATATAACTTGATGGATCTTTACATATGTATATACCTGTGGAACTTCGACACAGATCAAGAGGCAGAATATTTTCAACATCCTAGAAAGCTCTTTCATGCTTCTCCCATTCAATATCACCCACCACAGGTAACCAATACTCTCACTTTTATCCCCATAGATTTCACCTGCGTTTGGAACTTTTTGTAAATGGAACCACACAGTATGTTGTCTTATTTTTCTGGCTTCCTTTGCTCAATTCTGTGTCTCTGAAATTTAGATATTATGTTGTATTGTATAGAAGTAATTCATTTCTTACTGCTGTGTAGCATTCCATTTTACAAATATATCACAATTTATTCATCCAATCAACTGTTAATGTAAATTGGGGTTGTTTCTAATTTGAAGCTACTGTGACTGAAGCTGCTATAAATATTCTTGTACATATCTTTCAGTGGACATATGTACTCATTTGTCTTGAGTATATATCTAAGAGCGAAATTTCTGGGTCAACAGAGAGATGTATATTTATATTTAACAGGTATTGCCAAAGAATTTTCCAAAGTGTCTGATCCATTTTACATTCCCACTAGCAAATGTATGAGTTCCAGTTGTTCAACATGCTTGTTGACACTTGCTATTGTCCTTATTTTTAATTTTAGCCATTCTGGTGGGTGCAGAGAAGTATATAACTGTGGTTGTAATTAGGATTTCTCTGATGAGTAATGATGTAAAGAACTTTGTCATGTGCTTATTGGCGCCATCTGGTAAAGGTTAGGCTTAGGCACGGATATTCTCTTTTGTGAGGTGCCTGTTCAAGTCTTTTGTCCATTTATAAACTTTATTGTCTTTTGCTTTTTGATTTGTGAGAGTTATTTACACATTCTGCATACAAGTCTTTTATCTTATATATGCATTGTGATTATCTTCTATGTAAGGTTTGCCTTTCACTATCTGAATTGTGTCTTTTGATTAAAGAAGTTCTTTTTTTTTTTTTTTTTTTAATTTATTTATTATTATTATACTTTAAGTTGTAGGGTACATGTGCATAACGTGCAGGTTTGTTACATATGTATACTTGTGCCATGTTGCTGTGCTGCACCCATCAACTCGTCATTTACATCAGGTATAACTCCCAATGCAATCCCTCCCCCCTCCCCCCTCCCCATGATAGGCCCCGGTGTGTGATGTTCCCCTTCCTGAGTCCGAGTGATCTCATTGTTCAGTTCCCACCTATGAGTGAGAACATGCGGTGTTTGGTTTTCTGTTCTGGGACTTGGATGCAGCTGGAATCCATCATTCTTAGCAAACTATCACAAGAAGTTCTTAATAAAGTCTACTTTATCAAATTTTCTTTCAGGGTTGGTGTTCTTATATCCTGTAGAGAAATATTTTCCTATCCCAACTCTCTTGTTTTACAAAAATCCAATTAAAATATTTTTAGAGGAGCCTTGATGTTTTGTTTTTAACCTGTCCACTTCATAATCTAATGGATCCAACTTCTTCCTATTGTGATGTGTTCATGAAATTAACAAAGTTACAATGGTAATAGCATCCATCAAACCAAATTAAACGTACTCAGAGCAAGGCTGTATCAACTTACTGAAAAGCTATGTATGTCACCACTGCAACACCCAGGAAAATGGAGGAGATTCCACATCCGGTGTATGTTATAAGCGTTAATATCTGTTCATTCACTGTATCCACTGTAGATCTGGATAAATCCTAAGGAACACAATGTGTTGTGTTTTACACATTCACCAGAGCAAGTTTATGGCAAAATGCTTCCAGTGTTCACTAACGGTAAGTTCCCAGGATGTATAACATTTCTGCCATAGCTCTTCTAAAACCAGATTATGTGAATGGATATATGATAAGACCTAATATTATTTGTTGAGTATGCCTAGTTCAACTGACTGTGTACAGAGCATGGGGAACCATCAATAGCATTGGAAGCGCATTTAGTCCTTGGCTTCATCATCATTAACATGTTCTACATTTAAAATATAACAAAACTAATAGATGTGAATTTGGGATGCAAAGTGAATAATTATCTGAACTGAGCATCTCAAAACACTACACAGAACAGAAAAAAAAAAAAAAAGATCCTTTTCCTTAGACCTTAAATAGCTTTCACAAAATTAACAAATAAAATGGACCTTAGAGATCACAAAGTTCAGTAATTTATTAATTAAGTACCATTAAAGATCTGAAATGACATGCAAAATTATTTGAATATATGTGTGCACTGGTCTAAGAAGAAGGTCCAAAGCTTTCATCAGATGATTAGAGATTCATGACTCATAAAAGGTAAAGAAGCAGTATTTACTTTGGTAGTCCTCAACCAGGAGTGATTTTACTCCTCTCCCAGGGACATTTTGCGGTATCTGGAGGCATTTTTGGTTGTCACAACTGGGGAGGGTGCTACTGGCATCTAGTGGGGAAAGACCAGGGATGCTGCTAAACATCTCACAAAGCACAGAACAACCCCCCACGACAAAGAATTATTTGGGGCCCGGCGGGGTGGTTCACGCCTGTAATCTCAGCACCTTGGAAGGTTGAGGTGGATGGATCGTGAGGTCAGGAGATCGAGACCATCCTGGCCAAAATGGTGAAACCCCGTCTCTACTAAAAAAATACAAAAATTAGCTGGGTGTGGTGGCAGGCACCTGTAATCCCAGCTACTGGGGAGGCTGAGGCAGGAGAATCGCTTGAACCCAGGAGGCAGAGGTTGCAGTGACCCGAGATTGTGCCACTGCACTCCAGCCTGGTGACAGAGCAAGACTCTGTCAAAAAAAAAAAAAAAAAAAAAAAAAAAAAAAAAGAAAGAAAGAAAGAAAGAAAGAAAGAAAAGAAAAAGAAAAAGAACTATTTGGCCAGAATATCAATAGTGCCAAGATGGAGAAACCCTGGTGTACTCCAGTCATTCACATTTCAGAAGAAAAATCTAAGATCCAAAAGAGGGAAACAACCTGACCAAGATCACATAGCTAGTTACAGACAGAGCTGGAACAAGAACTCTGGTCTCTCTCTCTCTCTTTCTCTCTCTTTTTTTTTTTTTTTTTTTTTTTTTTTGAGACAGGGTCTCACTCTGTTGCCCAGACTGGAGTGCAGTGGCCTGATCATGGCCCATTGCAGCCTCAACCTCCCTGGACTCAGGTGATTCTTCCCACTTCAGCCTCCCAAGTACCTTGGACTACAGACACATGCCATCATGCCCGGCTACTTTTTTTATTTTTATTTTTTGTAGAGACAGGATTTTGCCATGTTGCCCAGGCTGGCCTTGAAATCCTGGGCCCAAGCAATCCATTCACCTCGGCCCCCAAAGTGCTGGGATTACAGGTGTGAGCCATGATGCCCAGCCAACCCCAGTCTTTTGACTCCCACTGTAGTGTTCCAGCCAATTTGGAGGGAGTTGAACAAAATTATTACAATTCAACAAGTATCAATTGAGTACCACTTACTTGTTGAATAGATATGGTTTAAAAATAAATATAAAACAGACCCACAGCCCTCAAAAAGCTAACCATTCTTTGTGGGAACAAGTAACATATGACACATTCAGATAACAGTATATAATAAAGTCACCTAAGAAATCCAGGAAAGTATTCTGATGTGAGTAGAGAAGAAGGAATACATTTGATAGTCCTTTGGAAGAAAAACTCAACAAATACCTATGATCCTTCTTACATTTAAATATTTTAATGACCAGACCCTTTAATCCAGCAATTCTACTTCTGTCAACTTATCCTGCAAAAATACTTACACCAGTGTTCGAGGACACATGAGTAAGAATGTGTATTACAGAAATGTTTGTAATGAGAAAAACAGCAACAGCTATAATGTCCACCAGTCAGGAATTAGTTAAATTTATTGTGTTAAACCCAAACAATGGTATACTATAAAGGTATTTTAAAAATTGAAGTATAATAGATAGATACACATTTGCCTGAAAGTTGTGCAATATATGTTGTTAAGTGAAAAAAGCAGTTGGTAAAAACAGTATGAATAATTTGATGCCATGTTTATAAAACAAAGCAAAAACATACATTAATATATACACAGGAAAAAAACCTAAATTAATATACACGTTAGACTGTTAAAGGTGGTGATCACTTGGGAGGGAGGCTACAGGGACCTTTTCTGTACTGTTTGAAATTTGAGAAGCAAGCATTAATTTTATAAGGAGAAAAAATAAATAAATATTTGTCTCAATCTGCTCTACTTTGGATGAACAAATTGGAGGGGGGCTTTTCTTTTCCAAATGCATACCACTTTTAAATAACAATTCACACATATATTACTGGTCTAATAAAAATTCTCAAACTTCCATCAAGGAGTGACTAAGAGACAACTCACCATTAAGACTCCAAAATGGGTGAGATGGTCACACTGACAGATTGTGTAATTTACGTTTGTTTCCTTTACTTTACAGCCTGATGAATTCCATCCACCCAGCCCATCTGTAGGAGACAGAAGGAAATTTCAAAGCAATTTTGTTTTTCTCAGAAATGTTTAACTTTTCATTATATGCACTATTTAAACGTATGTTATAATTAGTATTATTTGCTAAGACAGCAAGATTAGGGGTATAATTGAACACTGAAATTAAATTAAGTCTAATAGACTAAACTGACTTTTGGGGGACTTCGTAAATGGCATAACTTCTTCAGCTCTCACTTTTCCAGTTCTTGTACCATACCTCTGTAAATTAGGACAGACTCTAACCATGAACAAAAGTCCTGCCACCACACTACAGTGATAAAGACTTTTTTAAAAAGTGGCCAATAAATAGGAAGCAGGCAGATCTGGAATCTTTTTAAGGACATGGACATATGGAATATAGGCTGGCACTTGAGCTTACTCAGAGGGACTAGAATAGACATCTGAAAACCCAGCTGAACCCGCAATTCAAAGGGTCTCAAGTGCTTTGAACCAAAGTCAGATCATGGTCTAGAACGCTGCAGGGCCAATTAGAGCCTCTGCTCTACTGGACACCTGGCTAGTTTCTTTTGAGCACACTCAGGGTTTAGAACTAACACTTATACTTCCATAACCTGTAGATCTCAGGTACTAGACCGGATTGAGAGTAGAACTACACGAGTGGCACTAGACCAAAGGGGTTATCCCAGGGCAGGCAGCTAAGTGTGGTCAACATTTGTCCATCTGGGATAATGCCAAAGGTTCCAGAGGTTCTAGATGCATGGGACAGAGGTGCAGGGGCAAAGGGTGACCTGAGATTAGCCCAGTAATTTGCATTAATGAACACAGAGATCAACTTATTGAGGTTGTAGGGGACAAAGCTCATCACTTTATAGGAGTTTTATCCTGAGAGACTTGGAAGGAATCAGGAAAGGGCAGGCAGTGTTATTTTTGTCTGTCAGAAAGAAGTAGTATTCTTATACCCTAGGGAGCCAAATGGGAAGAGAATTTCCATTTTGTCCCAGAATTCCAAGGATAGTGAAAAAGGGAAAGGTCCTAGGCAGAGTTTCCACAGGCAGAAGGACTCCTCACTTAGCCACTCCTGGCGTTCTTAGGGAAATTGATTCTGTTTGGAAATTGTCTGAGATTCGGTGATAACCCTGGATATTTCCAGTGAAGATGGCAGGCCTAAGAGCAAATCAGTCAGCAATGACCATTCCCAGTCTCTTTTACTATCTGTCTCCAAAGACTCATGCTTATTCCAGCAATTAGGATCCTTAGAGACCAACCAAGAAGTTTCATCTCCTCAATGAAAAGATAAAAAGACTGGGGCTCAGAGGGGGTAAATTGCTTACCCAAGGTCACACAGTCAGTCTAAAAGAGGTGAGGAGAAAAAAAAAGGGAAGGAGGTTGTAGATCTCGCAAAACTCTGTGGGAAAGCCCACATAAAGAACCAGGTATTCCTTCCTCAACTTTCTTCAAACAACTCAAGGTTACTCTGCGCTGGGCCTTCCAAATTTCTTTCTTCCAACTTTGCTTACCCTCGAGTTGTGTGATTTTTCTGATTTCCCAAATAATTATCTTTGGGGCCTAAGATACTTATCATAAGCTCCTATACTCTTCAGGAAACTGCGGGTAAGGAGCAATTAGTTATTGGGCATGATTGGAGCGCTGTAGTCCCAGCACAAATTGAGAGATCTTACCTATCAAAAAGGAAAGTTGTCTTAATTCCCATGCCCTAATTTGATATAAAAATCATATCCTGTATCTTGGTCATTCAGAATGCTCTGTAGGGTCTGATAAGACAGTAGTTTGAGCACAACTCCTTCCCATTTAACTGCCAAGTGGGAAAATGGTCTGGGGCAAAGTCAAAGTTGCTAACAAAAATACTTACTATTATTCTCAAAATCCCAAAAGGCACAGTGAACTTGACCATAATTCTGGAAAAAAGGAAATCAGAGGTAAACACCTTGCTTTGTGATATTTACCATATAGTAACATATACACACAAGTGTTTTCTTCTCAATACGTTTTCCCATGGTAGACATGAACACACTCATATGCACACACATATACACATTCACATTTGGGCCATTTGTGAATTGGCTGTTAGACTAACTCCATCTAACTCTGGATTTACAAGTGAGAAAACAGCATGTCACTGGATGGTGATCTGATATGTCCTTTAAAATATTTGGTAGTATTAAAAATTGCCATGCCCTTCTGGTACAAGGCTATGGATAGTCAATGCTGGGCTGATGTGTTCCTTCCGCAGCTTTGGAGTTCGGGCCTCACTGCTGAGATCAAGCCTTATGAACACAAATTTGATCTGTTCCCTCATTAGGCCTACAGAACATTCCTAAGATCTCACCAGCTCCTATAGTCTTCAGGAAACTGCAGGCAAGGAGCAATTAGTTATGGGGGATAATTGAAGTGCTGTAGCCCAGACCAAATTGAGAGATCTTACCTATCTAACATGTTTCATTTGGTGTTTGCTTCTTTAAATTTCCTCTCCCTCTCTTCCTTCTCTCCTTCCCTTCCAGAAGCAAGACCAGTGAAAAGTATGCTGAACCATATGGTCTTTTAGACTGGGAACTGAGAAATATATTGAGACTTCACACTGGCCATACATTAATGTCAAATAATGGAATAGTCATTCATACTTGTACTTAGGCTAAATTTGATTATTTAGTAATATATACCTTATTTTATGCCATACGACTATGCTTTTAGTTCTTTGGTGATAATTCACACACATTTTAATGTTCTTTATGGAAATTCAAGTAATACAAATATTCAATTATTTTGAGTGAAGTTGCTTGCCTCACTCAAAAATAAATGGAATCACATGTCATTTAGTGTGATGGGACATCCAAAAGATCCAGTCACTGCCCCACCAATCTATCACAGTGCTAGAATGCCGATCACTTTAGGATAAGGCATTATTTCTAGAAGGTTCCAATTATAACACACCTTTGCTACCTGGAATAGGACATTCTTCATTAAGTGTTAGAATCACATCTGTTAATTAACAAATTACTTTTAACAGAAACATCGTGAAGAGTTCCTGAGGCCATTTGATTCAGAACTGAAAATGGATATATTACCTGGTTTCCTCCAATATGCTGCAGAGTGATAACCACTGGGTCAGCTAAGTTTTGAATAAACATATCTGAAATGCTGGCACTCACAACATATGTGGTTAATGCTTTAGTGATGTTTTTGGTCTGCAGATGAAACAAAAGAGGAGTTCAGGACCTAAATTTCTAATTACATATTAATAATCAATCTGGAATTTTGAAGTGCTACACACAACATTAGGTACAGAAATGTGGAAAATAAAATTGCAAGCTAAGGTCAAAGGTTATTCAGCTCATCTCCTGTCTTCACATAAGGTCTCCATTATACCAAGCTAGAAGAATTCATTAATCCATCTATCCATCCAAATGTCTATCTAGCATGCATTGGTTTTGCATCTGCTACTCAGTACTGCACTAGCAACAAAATGAAACTATTCTCTATTTTGATAACTTTCTGGACCTTGACATTTCACAACTTATCCCAGTTCTAACTCTCAACCATCCTTGCTTACTTTTAGGGAGCTCCTCTATAAGAAATCTAAATCTATCATGTTTAAGTTATAAACCACTTCTTGTTCTATTCTGACAGAGATGGAAGCAGGTTGATGAACACCCAGTTTGAAACAAATCTCAGAGGACAGTCATTGCCTTCTTAGGGGACTGTGAGCTCTGAGGGCAGAGCCCAGGCATTGTATAGCCTGGTGTTCCTCACATATCCTAGCACACAGCAGGTGTCTTGTGCCCACAGTGAGCCACTTATTATGTGCTTTTAATGCACATGCCATTTGCAGTCCTCACTGAAACCATATAAGCATTTTTCAGATAAACTGAGGCTTGGGTGGCTCAGTGCCTATATGGATAAAGGTCACAAGGCTAGTGAATGACAGGGCAGGGATGCTTAATAAATGTCGGTTTAAAGGCAACAAACTAGAATGTATCTGCTGAGAAGCAGGGCTTGCTAACTAACAGTGCCAAAGTACCCCAGGCCAAGGCTTCAGGATGCAAGTCAGCTGAGAGGCTGCCTTTTCTGGGGCACAGGCACATGTGAAGAGGCCAGAGATAGGGCTGGTGATACCAGACAAGAGGGAGAGGAAGAAAAATCTCTGAGGACTTCCCCAAAAAAGCCTAGAGGACATGAACCCAGATGATATTCCTTGGAGACCCTGCTGGGCCACTTTCAGAAGATGCCAAGGTTTCATATTTCTGAAGAAACAGTGTGCAGTCCCTACTACCTACCCTACACACCTGAGCCCTGCAGCCTGGGTAGTCGCGAATTCAGCCTGGGGCTCCACTAAGACTCTACTTACTTCCTGTTTCTGACCTGTTCTGTTCATTCAAAGCCAGTCTGGGGCAACCTGATTTAGAGATGGCCAGCAGCAAGATATAATGGGAAGGGCCCTGCTGACATTCAAAAGGCCAAGTGCTAACCCTAGCTCCCTTGTTCCTCCTAAGCCTTATTACCCCTTCTTGGTCTGTTGGTGACACTAGGAAAGATGGCAGACTAGATGTTATTTAATGATCCTCCCAAGTTAGTCTAAGAGACACAGTTTTCTGTAGTGAAAAGGCCAAATGAGGAGACACATGCTATGACCCAAGGCTTAATTAGCCTTTTCTCTGGTCTCATTTCCCTTACTACAAAATGGTAGCCATGCCAGGAAAGGAACAGAGCCTTCCCATCCTTCCACCCTTTGCATTGTAGGCTCAAGTTTTATCTGGTATACCTCTGAACTTTTAGACAAGCTATTCCCTCTATCTGAAACTCTCTTCCCTCCTTCTCTTTGCCCTGTTTCATCTTTGAGCTCCTACTCAACTTCAGGACTCCGCTGAGACCTTTCGCTCACTGCACTTTCCTGATCTCCCAGATGAGTGGTAGATCTCCTCTTCTATGCACCCAGAGTCTCCGTGCTGTATTGTAACCGTCTAGTGCCTGTCCCTCTCCTTGAGAATCACAGCTAGTGGAGGCGTGGAGGAGGAGACACATATTATCCAAGAGTGGTGCCTTATCAACAATTTCTGTGGACCAGGCATAGTGGCTCACACTTGTAATCCTAGCACTTTGGGAGGCAGAGACAGGAGGATGGCTTGAGGCCAGGTGTTTGAGACTAGCTTGGGCAACAAAGTGAGACCCTGTCTCTACAAAAAAAAAAAATATATATACGAAAATTAGCCAGGCACGGTGGTAAGCACCTATATTCCCAGCTTCTTGGGAGGCTGAGTCAAGAGGATCACTTAAACCCAGGAGTTCGAGGTTGCAGTGAGCTGTGATTGCACCACTACACTCCAGCCTGGGTGGCAGAGCGAGATCCTGTCTTTAAAAGACACAAACAAACAAACAAACAAATGTCTAAAGTTATATGTCATAATGACTTAAGATTTTGATCAAAAAAATGTTAGAGGAAGTAGTGTGAAAGCAAGGCTGTGATACTTGGGGATTCAAGAAAAACAGAATTAAAGAGCAGCATCTTTTGTAAGTACTCATTCCCCAATAACCAGTGGCACAGATCCCAGCCTTGGGTCACCCCTTCAGTGTTAGAACGTTTAGGTCTCTTTTCTCCTCCAGCAGACTGGAAGTTCCGTGAGGGCAGGCACTATGTCTCTTGCTCAGCATTGCATCCTCAGCATTCAGCACCATGTAAGACACACAGTAGGAATTAAATAAATATTTGCTGAATGAATAAATGATTGAGTGAATAAATGAATAAATTGTGGCACCTTCAGCAGATTCCTTCCCCTCTCTGAGTCTCAATGTCCTCAATATCCATTTTACTTTTACCAATGGTAAACTGAATAGATGGGATGATATGAGTTAGGAGGGCCCTTTCAGCACTGAATTTGACGGCAGGCTAGTTCTAATCCTTCTTCATCTGGTACTATGACGTTTGCAGGCTAATTTTGGCAAAGATCTTTAATCTTTTTCAGTAGAAAGTGTTAGTGAATAAAAATGACTTATTAAGTGTGAAATCTATGCAAAACAAGTTTATCTCTTATTCTATGAGGCAAGCACAGCCCTCTGAAGAAAGGAGAGAAGTTAAGACCAAAATAATGGCATCTCAGGTGACACAGAGAAATTGTAAGCCTTCCAAAAGAGTCAGAGTGTTATGTATCACATTTTTAATTTTTATTAAAATGTTTTGCCCACTAAATATTTTGCCCAGGAGGCAGGAAGGAGAGCAGAGGCTCACTTACTCCAAGCAGCCATCCTGGATGGGATTTGAACTAAGCCCACAGGAACAAATAGAATTTAGATAGAGAAAGGAGTGGCTAGAGAACTCCAGGGGAACAGAAAGTCTTACAGACATAGCTGGAGGTGACATGGTATAGTTGAGGTGGTGTGTGGTATGGGTATGTGCTATATTTTGAGTTGACCCAGTGCAATCTCCCACAAAAGAAATGTGAATATTTGACCATTAGAAATTCATTACTTTGGATAACCTCTTTAGAAATACAAACACATCTAGGAAAATTAATGTATTGACTTCTTAAATACATGAACTTTCAAGTCAGATAGCCTGAGTTTGATTCCTAGCTGCGCCACTTTTTAAGTATGTGGCCTTGGGAAAAATTACTTAAACTTTTTGAGTCTTGACTTCTCATGAGAAGTAGATGAAATAATAAATGTAAATATTAACCATTAATAGTGTTCATTATCTTCAAATTCATGCAAACTCTGATTACTGTCTTCCCAATAAATAGATGAGACAGAGTGGTCTAAATGAACGAGCCTTTTGTTAGGCAGAGACCTAAGACAGGATAATAATAATAATAGTAGAGCAAACAGTTAACACGGTACTTATGTGCCAAGCAGTATTGTAAGCACTTTAAATACACTAACTCCTTTAATCCTTCAATAGCTCTATAAGGTATTCATATTACCCTATGCTACAGAGAAGGAAACTAAGGCACATGAAGGTTGAGTAACTTGCTTGAGGACACACAGGCAGAATACGGCATTGCCAGCTTTAAATTCAACCAGGCTGCCCCTGAGTCCACACTCTTCAGCATCACATCAGGCTGCCTCTGTTTTCTAGTGGGTGAGGACTGCAGCCTTCAGGGAAAGTTCTGTGGGGGCTGTGGGAAGTAGCAACAAATGCCTGCAGGCAAATGTCCTTCTGGATACCACCCAGCTTCAAAGGAATTGGCCCAAAATAGTGGACATGTTGGCTTTGAGGAGCCAGGGGAGATTTGGGAGGAAAGCACTGACAAGCCGAAACATTATTTCATCAGGAGAACTCGCTGTTCTTTTCTGGCTTTGAAACATCTTGAGACCTCTGTTTAGCCACCAGATAATCCTTAAGGTCCCTTCCAAAGCTGAGATGTTGTGAAAATTAAAAACTGTAGAACATCATTAAAGTAGACGTTGATTCATGTTAAGGGGCAAGGGTTGTGCTGGAAGACTTGTGGAATCAATCAGCATATTCTAAAATAAATAGAATATCATGAAAATAGCAAGAGTTCATAATTACAATGAGTCACCATATGCCAGTTCATCACAGTCACCACAGGCAAGAATTTACCTTAAAGAGTGAAGTTTGGCCAAAGAAATTAAACAAGATCGTTTGTAAGTTGCTAAGAGGAATTCTCTCCGTCAGTGATTTAGGCAAATATATGGAAGCCAAAATCCCTCCCACAGGGACATTGCCTAGGAAAATCTGTCAAGAAAAGCCAAAAAATGAAAATTGGAGTTTTCATTCATCATAGTGAAGCCTTGCCCACCTCCCACCCCAGTTCAGCCTCAGAATATCACTCAAAGGGCTGAAAGGTGGGAACTAGCTCCATAAGCTATGATATACTTTACACACACACACACACACACACACACACACACACATATACAATCACAGGCCAAGACATGATCCTGGTACACATAGACATAGACACGAACACACATCATCTTTTCCTTTCTAAGCCTATTCCTGAGGTTCTCTCCCTCTGAGGTTCTCTCCCTTTGATCTCCTTTCACCTGGGTAATAATAGAGATGAGAGGGAAATGACAAATTAGGTCATTTGCCCTGATTATTAGAAATAAAGACCAGTCTTGGAAATCAGGATACCGTCCTCCATATGATAAAAGGAAAAAACAAAACAACAACAAAAAACACAATACAATGGGATTAGGCACTTTCCTCATAGTTTATGGAGCAATGTTTTGGTTAAAAAGTGAAGCAGTAAAGTGAGGCATTAGCGCTTAGCAATTCTGCTGCATGTCACAGCTATGGTTTGAATATGTCCCCCCAAAAGCATGTACTAGAAACTTAATCCCCAACGTGATAATAATGGGGGCTGGTGCACAATGGGATATGTTCAGGTCATGAAGGCTCCACCCTGTTGAATGGATCAATGCCAATTATATAAGGGCTTGAGGCTGTGAGTTAAATCTTTTGTTCTCTCTCTCCCTCTCTTTGCACATCTGCCATTGGATGACACAGCAAGAAGGCTCTCACCGCAGGTGGCCCCTTGATCTTCGACTTCCCAGTCGTCAGAACTGTGAACCAATAAATTTCTCTTCATCAGAAATTACCCATTCTGTGGTATTCTGTTATAGCCGCACAAAATGGAATAAGACATTCACTATTAGAAGTATTTGCTGAGTTGATTGGTAATAGTATTTGACAAGTACTGGAACATTTTTGAGAGTCAAAAAGGCTTTGTTAATAATTACACTAAGTCCACAGCCATAAATCGGGACTCTCCCAGACAAAACAGGATATGTGGACACACTTACTTGCATTCTCCCATTTAATCTATCAACTCTGAGAGGTAAGTTGTATTATGGCAACAGGAAATGGCTTAGAAAGGTTAAGTGACTTGCTTAGGGTCACACAACTGAGATGTGGTTGAACAAAGATATATACAATTTTGGCCCACTTTTAAAATTTATTTGTTGCCTCTCAAGTTGCTATTATTTAGCTGGGTGTATAACGGGGGTTAAAAGTGAATAATATTTCTAAAAATGACTTGTAGTCTCAAAAGCCATATGGCTCTTTGCTAAGCAGAAATGAACTCTGCTGGGGCAGTCAAGTACCATGGAGAGGACATGATTTAGCTTCTACATGTAAGCAATTTGGTACCAAGAATACAACCGGTGTTGTTTGTTTCGTCTCTCCACCAAGATTCATGATAGAAAACCCCATTGTAAACAAAATACACTGGGAATTCAACATCTGTTTCAGTATGGCTAAGTAGCTCCTAATAAACTCAACCCTCCTGCATGTAACAACAATACAAAGTAACAACGACTTGAAGGCACTGGAAAATTACCAGACAGTTTCTGGAGAAGAGTAAACACTTGGAAAAAGGTAACATCACAAGGTGGGGTACCCGTTTTTATAGCTTGCAGCCTGATGGCAGGCTGAAACTAATGCTGTGAAGGACATCTAAAACTTTGATTTTTTTTTTTTCTAAATTGCAGTCTTTGTGGAATGAAGAACCAGAAACAAAAGTCAGGGCAACCATAGCCACTGGGAGGTGATGGGGGTTGTGGGGGGACATCTGGAATGGAAAGCGGGATCCAAAATTCTGAGTATAAGTTCTGCCCAAATATCTGCCTTACCTCTGGACCACATATGTACAGGACAGATTTCCACTAAGAATGAAGGAAGTTAACTGAGATTTGAACTGCCAGTCAAGAGATGGTGTCTACAGTATAGACCAACCAAGTTAATTGCCTGTTATGACAAAAATCTATAATCTACAAAAGAATAGAGTAGAATCTAGAGTGTTCATATATAACATTTATAATACCCAGGACATAATCCAAAATTACTCAATATATGAAGAAAAAATGTGACCCATTTTTAAAAGACAATCAATGGAGTTAAACCTTGAGATGATCCAGATATTAGAATTAGCAGACAAGGATTTTAAAGCAGCTAGGATAACTATGCTGAGGTATTCAAAATAAAATATGTTTGCAATTAATGGAGAGAGGAAATAATAGCAAAAAAAATATGGAAACATACAAAATAGAAATTCTAAACTTTAAGCATAATATTGGAATTTTTTAAAAAGTAAATTTTATTGTTTGTATTTAAGGTATATAACATGATATTATGGGATACATATAGAGAGTAAAAAGGTTACTATAGTAAAGAAAATTAACATATCCATGATCTCACATAGTTACCTCTTTTTTTGTTGTTTTTATGGCAAGAGTAGCTAAAATCTATTCATTTAGCATGAATTCCAAAAACAGTACAATTTTTAAAATTGCACAGGATGGGTCCAATAGTAACACAAAAACAACAGATGTCTGCAAATTTAAAGGTAGATCAGCAGAAATGATCCCTTTAGAAGAATAGATAGTGAAATAATTAAAAACATGAACAGTCTCAGGGATATGTGGGGAAGTATCAAAAGGTCTTACATACAAGTAATTGGAGTCTCAAAAGAAGAGGAAAGAGAAAATGGTGAGGAAACAGTATTTGAAGGAATAACAGTGAAAATTTCCCTAAATTCAGTAAAAGGTATAAATTTACATATTCAAGAAGCTCAGCAAATCCTTGGCACGATAAGAACAAAGAAAAAAAATGCCCAGGCATATAATAGTCAAACTGCAGAATATCAAAAAATATTTTAAAAAGCCAGAGAAAATTTACACATTATATACAGAGAAACAAGAACTCAAATGATTACTGATTTCTCTTCAGAAAACATAGAGGCCAGAAGAGAGTGAAATGATATCTTTAAAATGCTGGGGACTGGGGGAAGGACTTGCCAATCCTGAATCCTATAGCAAACAAAAATATCCTTCAAGCATAAAGATAAAATAAAGACATTTTCAGATAAATTAAAAACTAAGAAAATTTATCATCATCAGACCTGCATTACAATAAATCCTAAGTGAATATTTTTTGAGCTGAAGGGAAATGATACCAAATAGAACTCTGACCTTCAGGAAGGAATGAAGAGCATCAAAAATAATACATATCAAAGTAAATGTAAAAAACCATTTTTTCTCTCAATTTTTTAAAATAACATAGGACTTTTTAAAGTAATGACTATAACATTGTCTTGTGAAGTTTATAATCTTTTTGTGTAAAATGTGTGTGTGACAATTATAGCATAAAAAACAGGGGGCATAAATTGATACGTCTAGTTTAAAGTTTCTACATTTTACATGAAGCAGTACAATATTAACTCTAAGTAGACTGTAAAAAATATACAAGTGTATATTATAATCTCTAGAGCAACCATTAAGAAAAAAATGCAGGCCAGGCATGGTGGCTCACGCCTGTAATCCCAGCACTTTGGGAGGCCGAGGCAGGTGGATCACTTCATGTCTGGAGTTTGAAACCAGCCTGACCAACATGGTGAAACCCTGTCTCTACTTAAAAAAAAAAAGCCGTGCGTGGTGGCACATGCCTGTAGTCCCCTCTACTCTGGAGGCTGAGGCACAAGAATCACTTGAACCCAGGAGGCGGAGGTTGCACTGAGCCCAGATCGTGCCACTGCACTCCAGCCTGAGTAACAGAGGGAGACTCCAAAAAGAAAGGAAAGGAAGGGAGAAAGGAAGGAAGGAAGGAAGGAAGGAAGGAAGGAAGGAAGGAAGGAAGGAAGGAAGGAAGGAAGGAAGGAAGGAAGGAAAAAAGAAAGAAAGAAAGGAAGAAAGAAAGAAAGAAAGAGAAAGAAAGAAAGAGAGAAAGAAGAAAGAAAGAGAAAGAAAGAAAGAAAGAAGGGAAGAAAGAAAGAAAGAAAGAAAGAAAGAAGGAAGGAAGGAAGGAAGGAAGGAAAGAAAGAAAGAAAGAAAGAAAGAAAGAAAGAAAGAAAGAAAGAAAGAGGGGGGCGGAGCAAGATGGCCGAATAGGAACAGCTCCAGTCTCCAACTCCCAATGCGAGCGACACAGAAGACCGGTGATTTCTGCATTTTCAACTGAGGTACTGGGTTCATCTCACTGGGGAGTGCCGGACGATCGGTGCTGGTCAGCTGCTGCAGCCCGACCAGCGAGAGCTGAAGCAGGGCGAGGCATTGCCTCACCTGGGAAGCGCAAGGGGGAAGGGAATCCCTTTTCCTAGCCAGGGGAACTGAGACACACAACACCTGGAAAATCGGGTAACTCCCACCCCAATACTGCGCTTTAAGCAAACAGGCACACCAGGAGATCATATCCCACACCTGGCCGGGAGGCTCCCACGCCCACGGAGCCTCCCTCATTGCTAGCACAGCAGTCTGTGATCTACCGGCAAGGCAGCAGCGAGGCTGGGGGAGGGGCGCCCGCCATTGCTGAGGCTTAAGTAGGTAAACAAAGCTGCTGGGAAGCTCGAACTGGGTGGAGCTCACAGCAGCTCAAGGAAACCTGCCTGTCTCTGTAGACTCCACCTCTGGGGACAGGGCACAGTAAATAATAACAAACACAGCAGAAGCCTCTGCAGACGCAAACGACTCTGTCTGACAGCTTTGAAGAGAGCAGTGGATCTCCCAACACGGAGGTTGAGATCTGAGAAGGGACAGACTCCCTGCTCAAGTGGGTCCCTGACCCCTGAGTAGCCTAACTGGGAGACATCCCCCACTAGGGGCAGTCTGACACCCCACACCTCACAGGGTGGAGTACACCCCTGAGAGGAAGCTTCCAAAGCAAGAATCAGACAGGTACACTCGCTGTTCAGAAATATTCTATCTTCTGCAGCCTCTGCTGCTGATACCCAGGCAAAC